TCTCAGGCTTGTGACTCTAACACAAAGTCAGTTAATAACAATCTACTACAATAGTATACTGCAGCAGCTAATAAATGTTAACATATAAACATAAATCTAGAGAGTCTAGAGCAAATCAAAAACATTTTGTATTACTTTTTATTTATTTATTAATTTATTTCAAAAGTACAATAAATTGAAAAAGCAGTGCACTTACTGAGAAATCTTACAGTAATGTCATGATAGGTCAGCTAAGTCTTCACCGTGACCTGGATGAGTAAATCTATATATACTATATATACTATGTATTTAGTATATAGTCATTTATATATTTTTTTTCAGAATCCTTAACTTGACAGCTGCCATTTCTATCTGAGCATAATACAAGGTAAATAACTTGCCAACTGATGGTGACAATATGATCTGTTTGGAGGTTTCACTGATTGGAATGTATTAGGAGAGTTGAAAGTTAGACAATGACAATCAAAAAGTGAATCTAATTAAGTATATCAGCATGGTGATGTCAGTTCTACTCCACAGTGAAGTACAATCATGGGAGATGGTGAAATGGAGTGTTTCGGCCCGGCGGCCATTTACCTCCGGAAGCCAGAAAGAGAGCGAATCGAGGCTCAGACCGCCCCCTTTGATGCCAAAACAGAATACTTCGTGACAGATGAAGCTGAGATGTACCTGAAATGTTCTCTTGTTAGTAAAGACGGTGGCAAAGCTTCTGTCAAAACTCACTGTGGGAAAGTAAGTATCATAGATTAAAAAAACAAAACTACTTGATATGTTACAGTGCTTGAGTCTTCAGAGATTAAAGTCTTTCACTTAAATAGTGTAGAAATGTGTATACAAAAAGTCTAAACAATGTTCATTACAGGCTGTCACAGTAAAAGAAGATGAAATCTTCCCAATGAATCCTCCCAAGTTTGACAAAATGGAGGACATGGCCATGATGACCCACCTCAATGAGCCTTCTGTGCTGTTTAACCTCAAAGAGCGTTACGCAGCATGGATGATCTATGTAAGTAAATCATAATTTATTCCTGGAATAGGGCAGCAACATTGTAAAACTGGACGATCTCCATTTCAGACCTACTCTGGCTTGTTCTGCGCCACTGTCAATCCATACAAATGGCTCCCAGTGTACGATGCAATTGTTGTGGCTGGATACAGAGGCAAAAAGAGGATTGAAGCCCCACCTCACATCTTCTCCATCTCTGACAACGCTTACCAGTTCATGCTCACTGGTAAGTGGATTCCAGCAGTCTCAACAAATAACAGTTAAAAAGACAATGAAAAAAATACACTTTATAATAACTAGTGTGAAGTATTAGTGTATAATTCATTGTCTATAAATGGCTGTTTTGACAGAGTTCATAGAAAAGCTAAATCCAAATCATATGTATATATGAAAGACGACTGATGTTTTTTAGCTTTAGTTAACAACGTCTTAATAAACGATACATAAATGAGGTTTTTAAGCTGAGGAAACTGAGTGGTACAGTTTAAATTAATGTTCAATTAGTAAGGGCTTCATAACACCCATTATTTTGCATTATTGTATAAAAAGATACCTTCTATATGCACTTATATGAATAAATAATTGAAATGTTAAGTTTAGGATATAGCCTATTAATCTAATAACATCACTGTAAAAAAATCATGTGAAATCTACAGGCATGTACTGTGTTTGTGCTTACTGTATAACTGTATACTAGTTCACAGTAGAATACCGTAGTTTCAGTCAAAATTGCAGTCATGTAAGAAGTACTGTGAGTAACCAGCAAACCAGCAATGTCTTGTAGAAAATCACAGTAACTTCCGATGTATTGTAGAAAACACAAGCATTTATGTACTGTAGAAAATTACAGTAACCAACAATGTGCTGTAAAAAATAATGGCTATTATTTATATCCAGCTTAGTTTTCACAAGACAGCGGGCGCGACTATTTGTAACTTGAATGTGTTTGGCTACTGGTGTCTTTCGATTCCAGTTATTTTATCTGTACAAAAACAGCCCATTATACTGCTTCATACAAACGTTTAATTATTATCATATTATTTTAACTTCAGTATAATAATCATAAATTCACCCCCCAGAACGCGATTTCACTGTACTGCCATACACTAGGGTTTTCTGAAACCCAGCCACTTGGATAGAGAAGGAAAACATAGTAGCCTACACTGGCAGCTGGGTTTCCAGCCAATGACCGCATTTAATTTGACCTCACTGTAATTCAATTACACTTTAGGTTTGAATAGAGAATACAGGAAGCAAATGTATTCTTTAATAAAAATAAAAAAATGACCAAAAGGTCATCAAGATTTTATTGTTTTCAACACATCTAGCAATAAGTGAAGAATGATAAATGAAGATTGTTGTAATGATGAGCAGTTAACGGTGACTGTTGATAAATTAATATTTATATTTAAATCGTGCAACATG